AAAAAAGAAAGTATATCAAATATTTCCATCTGTATTTTTGAAAAAAAAAAAAAAAAAAACGAGTAAAACTTGATTTAGATTTTTTTATGCAATCAATTATTTTAGTTGAATTAATTGAATAATCAATCGTTTTAATTGAATTTAAGAATTTTACATATGCAACTTGGAACTGAAAATTTATTCTTGATTTATTTTTTTTTTTTCATTTTTCTTATACTTTTACATTTTCTTTTTTTTTCGTCGAATATTTAAGAAATAATTTTTAATTATTACATACAATATTCAAACTTGATTTTTTATTTAAATTAGATAAAATAATTATAGCGCAAATGACAATAATAATAATAATAATAATAATAATAATAATAATAAAATAATAATTTTCATTGATGCGTATTAATGGGGATGAATTCATAAAATTGTTTAATTACTTTAATCAATTAACGAAAAGAAAAAGTGGAAAAAACAGGTTGTAAAATTAATTAATAACAAAATTTCCGAACAACTGCAAATACAATCTATCATTTATTCTTGAAATTTGTATTAATAATTTTTTTTTTCCCCGTTCCTTTTATTCTTTTACAATTCTTTTTTTTCCTTTAAATATTTGACAAATAATTGGTATAAAAAAAAAAATAATAATAATTTTTAGCAAATATTTTAGCAAAATTAACTTGCTAAAATTAATTACTCATTAAAAATTTACTAATTAAAATTATTTACTCGTTTATCAAATTTCTCGCAATATTGTTAAATTCATATCTAAGCAGGGAGCAGTAAATTTTGTTTCTTTTTTTTTTTTAGCTTGTCAAAAAATTGTTCAACAACGATTACGATTATTGGGTAGTTTTTCGAATAGTGCAAAAACATCAACATCAACAACATCAACATCAACAACAACAATAACAACAACGACAACAACAGCAACAACAACAACAACAACAACATCAACCGTATCAACTTTTCACAGTAATAGTTGCAGTGATCATCGAAATAGTAATTATCAGGTTAGTTATATAAATTAAATATAGGTTATGCTATTTTACAGTAGGATTTAAGTTACATTCTTCATGGTTCTTTTTTTTTCTTCTGTAATTTCTCAAAGTATTAAAATTAAAGTTCAAAAAAATTCTATAAATTCTAAAAGTGTTAAAATTAAAATTTAAAAGTTGTATTTTAAAATGATAGTGAAATAATTTTATTAGGATTTGGTATATTCAAATGGGTATAATTCTAAAAATCAATCATGCTATCATCAACGATCAGTATCAGCATTACCTCTCCAAGAACATTTACAACAACAACAACATGGAAATGGTAGTGATATAGGATATCATGGAAATGGTATTCATTATACATCCAATAATACTGTACAAATGCCAACCAATTATGGTTGTCATCGAGAAAATTCTACATTAACTACTGGTATATTACTTTGATTTAATTTATAATTTTAATAATACATATGATATTATATCGTAATTTTGTTATACAATAATAAATTATAACAATATGATAATCATTGATAAACTTTACTCTATCAATCAATCAATTAATGATATTTATTAAATATTAAATTTATCGATTTATCAATCTATTAAATATTAAATTTATCAATTCATTAAACATTAAACAAACAATTTTTATTTACCAAGTAAATATAATTTGAAAAGAGCGCCTTATTGATTGAGCATTCTTATTGATTGCCTTGTTTATGTTCAAAAGGAAATAGAGTGAGAGGAAAAAGGATAAGATAAATTAAGATAGAAAGAGAAAAGCAGATTAATATAGGAGATTGTAAGACGAAAAGAAAAAAAGGATGAAGAGGAATGGAAGAGAGGAAGAAGAATATTTTTAGTTATGTCAATTTAAGGTTTTGATTTATGCTATTATAGCATTTGGGAGGAACGTTATT